TGTTTAAACATAGCACGTTYGTTTGTATTGATTTAGATAACCTTTATAGCAGATTGCTTAATTAGCCTTAATATTACTTATGTGTAACCAACAATACTCAAGAAATGTTTGCTGAATCAAGTAACTGGCATCTGTAATACAGTAAGGGGGACTGGCCAGGGACGCAGTGATGCACACCTGCAATCCCAACTATTCGAGAGGCTGAGGCAGGCAGATTGAAGTTCAAGGTCAGCCTGGGCAAATTAGTGAGATCCTGTTTCAAAATAAATAAAAAGGTCTGAGGATGTAACTCAGTGGTATAGTGTTCCTGGGTTCAGTACCCAGTACCATAAAAAGAGCAACATCAACAAAGTTAGGGGCTCCCTCATGGGGTTCCTTTGAGAAGTAAATGAGTTAATATTAATCAACTGCTTAGAACAGTGCCTGGTATATATTAAATTCTATACAAAATGTTACTATTCCTTAGTTCCTCTACTGTAATATAAAAATTTAAAAAAGAGTATAAATTTTTTTGGTTTTCAGGAGACTGGGGTTGGGGTTCAGTAGTAGAGTGCTTGTTGGCATGTGTGAGTCCCTAGGTTCGATACTCAGTACCACATATAAAGAAACARAGTAAAAAATCCATTGGCAACTAAAAAATATTTAAAAWTTTTTTTTGGTTTTCTAAACCATTCAGCTATATAATCTGACCTGAACTATTTGTAATCTTTATTTATTCTTCCTCTTGAGTGAACATTTTGTTATTGAAGATCCTGATGGAGGTGTTATACTATAAAATACAATAAATGCATTATCTTATCTTTCTGAAGTTGCAAAAATTCTGGTTTCCAAAATGCATTTGGTACTAAACTTTAGGTAGGGGATTATGGATTAATGTTATTATCTTTAAAACAATGTAATATAGCTTTGAGAAATATAATAGCCAAGGCTATTCAGCTATTCAGAAAACTGAGAACAGAAAAAACTTATTAAAAGGTGGTGTCTTTTAATATGTGGATTAAAATCTGATGACTCATTAGCCTTTAGCAAAGTAAATAAATKACCTCGAGCTGGCATTTACTCCAGTTATCGCCTTTCTAGTCCCATACAGGTAGAGGGCTAATTCTTTCCCCTCCTGCTGCCTTGTCAGGGACCTCCCCTTTGTGAGAGGTGTGGCAGCCCTCTCTCCTTTAGTTTAGCTTCTCCCTCTCCATTGGCTCTAATCATTGATATTTAATCATGTTTAAGTCTCCTCCACTATACATACTGCTCTAACACCCAAATTTATACATAAAGAGTTCCTTTAACTTATTCTTCTTGGAATATTACAGCCTTCTGTTCCTTTATATCTTTTTTTTTTTTATTCCTCAATTGCATGGTAGCATGGCTTTCACCTTCACCACTGAAATTGCTCATCGGCTTTCCCAATAATATTAATAATGTTACTTAACCTCTTTGAAGGAACAGGTACTAGTCACCACTCCCTTCTCTTTAATGCYTAAGATTCCACGTAAGTCCTTTTGAGTCTAGTTTCCTGGGATGTCTCATGATGTCAATTACTATTCACAGGCTGACAGTTGCCCAATCTGCCTCTGCAGCCCACCTCTCTCCTGAACCTCAGACACTGTCTACTAAACACCTCCAGCTGGATGTCCCTCAGGTGACCAAACTCAGACAACTCAGAATTTACCTTTGCTCCCAAACCTCAACATCTACTCTTTCTATGTCCCCCAATCAATGAATGGACCAACATTTAGACTATTGTTAAAGAGTCTTGGAGTTATCTTCAGCTCCTTCATTTCTTTCACCTTTTAAAATATAGTTAGTTATCAAGTCCTGCCAATTCAACTTCCTAAATGTCTCCAGAATTTACTACCATGAGGTTCTCTATTTCAGGCCACAGTCTCTTCTAGCTTAAATTACTACACCAAATTACTAGCTTAGATTACTACATCTTTATAGGGTTCCGCCTCCTATTTTCATCTTAGTTAATCCACTTCTAGACAGATGTGGTTCTACTAGACAAATGTGGTCATGTMTTTCCCTTCTTAAAACCCTCAATAGCTACCAAATATCCTCAAAATAAAGTCTACATCCATTAACAAAGACTTATGTCTTAACAATTCTCTTTCTCAAACTCTGTATTCTATTGAACAATCAATAAGCCAATTTCCCTCCTTCCCTTCCTCACTGTCTCCCTCACTCCCTCCAAGGATTGAAGGAAAGGCCACATGTGTGCTAGGCAAGTGCTTTAAAACTGAGATACATCCCTGGTCCTTTTTAAACTTTATGATTTCGACACAGGTTTTCACTAAGGTGGCCAGGTTGACCTAAAATTTGAGATTCTCCTGCATCAGCCTCCTGAGTAGCTGGGATTACAGGCATATGTCACCATACCTGGCTTCAACAAATATTTCTTCAATATTTATATGTGTTAGGGATGTTCTGGAATCTGACAAGAGAGGAATGAACCAAAGCTTCAGATATAAGCTTCTTATAACCTAGTAGCTGGGTGGGTTGGAAAAATACATAAAATCATAAACAAAAATATTCAAGATTATAAGAAGTGTCAGAGCACTGAGGTGACATTTTATTTATTTATTTATTTTGCAGTGTTGGAGATCCTACTCAGGGCCTTGTGTATGCTAGGCAAACACTCTACCACTGAACTATATCTCTAGCCCAAGGTGATAATTGATAGCACACGCCTACTAATCTCTAGGTTCTCAATTGAGACATTCCTTGGGAAATTTTCCTGCTTCTTCGAGTCTATTGGCAGCAACTCCCAGATGCTCCAGAACACCATGTCCTTGCCTGATCCATCACCTGTAGGGTATCCATGTCCACTATTATCTGATTCTCCCAACTGGAAGATATCTTGTGCTGGATTACAACCCCAGTGCCTGCTCAGTGCTTGCCATACCTAGGATTCTCAGCCTGTATTTCCTGAATGACAGACTAAGTATTTAGTATCATTAAATATCTCTGTTGTCTGAAGGCCAGCTAATTTTGAAGAGGGAAATATATGTCTTTTGAAAAAGTATGCTGGCCGACTGAAATAAAGCCCACATATAACACTTCACTGATTATTTCCATTTGCTTTATTATCAGTGAGAACACTACAGCATAAAACTCAATACCTTGATTAAATTAATCATATCTTTCAATCCATGCTTCTTGGCTATTTTTAATTCCCAGGCTCTTTAAAAATATGTAGTCTTTTTATGAGAAATTTTGAAATATGAAGTCACAGGCATCTTACGTAAAATCTAATTATTCTTCAACTATATTAAATAGTCTCTGATGAAAGTTAATTTCATGATTACCTTCCTTCCGATGTACCTACAGTGGTGTAAGTTCTAAGGCCTTTTATCTATTTTTAATTCTAAACTCAAGACTGAGTGAAAAAACGAAAAACACCATGGCATATGACAATCAGGTGATGCTGTGTAGACTGTATCTGCAAAAAACAATTGTTTTGCATGACTTGGCTTATGAACTATCAATTGCTCCAAGGTAAGAGAAAGAGTCTTCTGACATCATGTAGTATCTTCCAGGCACTTAAAAGTTAATAAGTAGAAAGGGAAAGTACTAGGGAATGATATGGATTAAAGTATGTTATGTGTGTGTACAAATATGGCATGATGAATTCCACKCTTATGTATAAATATAATTCACTAATAAAAAAGTCAGTAAGTGACCCCTTTACACTATCCAAATAACTACCAATATTTCTTTAAGGCACTGTGATAGACCTCCCATCAATCAAACATTATAGAGGAATTGCATTGACCTATAATTCTCCATCAACCAGCATTTAGGCAATTCTCCCAGTATGATAACTTACATATGCAGGTATCTGGAAAACTAAAGAGATGAAAGAGAAATAAAAGCAAATAAGGGCAGATGAGAGGTCATTCCTCTGACTACAATCAACTTCTAAGCTTTTAGTGATATCATAAAGGAAGCATTATTGTTCCTCCAATACTAGATGTTTTTTGGCATACATTAGATTTTTATAACTTGGCATTGCTACTTTCTATTTAATGTCAGCCTGTCAGACTAGCATAGCATTTTGATTAGATTAAAGCTGATAAAGAATATCAAATAGAACTCTGCTTCTCTAGTCAGAAAGTTGCAACTAAAACTTCTCAATATAGTTCTACAGGGATGAAATCAGTCGCTGTGTTTATATAATCTCCCTTATTTTCTATTTATTTATTTATTCATTTATATATATATTTTATTCTAATTTGTTATATATGACAGCAGAATGCATTRTAATTTATATTACACATATAGAGCACAATTTTTCATCTCTGGTTGTATACAAAGCATATTTACACCATTTGTGGCTTCATACATGTACTGAGGATAATGATGTCCATCTCATTACACAATCTTTTTTACCCCCACGTCCCCTCCCTTCCCTTCCTATCTCTTTGCCCTTTCTAGAGTTGGATAAAGAAAATGTGGTATACATACACAATGGAATATTACTCAGTTATAAAAGAGAATAAAATCATGGCATTTACAGGTAAATGGATAGAGTTGGAGAATATAATGCTAAGTGAAGTTAGCGAATCCCCAAAAAACAAATGCTGAATGTTTTCTCTGATATAAGGAGGCTGATTCATAGTGGGATTGGAAGGGGAAGCATGGGAGGATTAGATGATATTCCCTATTTTCTACAAAGGTGATATTTTAGGTACACTTAACTAGAGTTAGTCTATTTGCTTTGTCTTCTTAGATCTGTTATTTTATTTCTAGTTTACTGAACTTGGAAGAAAGGTGTTTCAAATACTATGTCCTCCAAAAATCAGGGTTCATTACTTTGCTTGAGTAATACAAATCTTACAGTGCCARTGTAGCCAAGTGGATTTGTGAACAAGGCCAAGAAAAAAAAATAGTTTAGAATTTAATRGAAAGAGGTAAAGCAATTGTCAAGAAGCTATCTGAAGAGTGATAAGAACATGAAAAACTAAAAATATACATAAAAGAAAAAATTTAAAATCACTTACCCTTAATTCTTCTTTTGTATTGAAACTATCAAGAAGTTGTTGATAATGTCTGTCAGTCATTTGTCGTAATAGGGACAGGAGACAGGCAACAAATTCCCCCTATTAAAAAAAAAAAGAGGTATTTTTAAGGAAGGACATAAAAGAACACCAGTGATTTACTCTGAACTTCCCTCAAGGAGAATATTTTTAAAAAATTCATTATAATCCATATTCACTATATGAACTCTTCTTAATGTAAATTTGTACATTGCCTGTAATAYCACAGCCAAAATCTCCCCCTGAGGTAATTACCATTTACTTCATACTATGATTGTTTTTTTTTTTTTTTTTAACCTGGGCAAAAGTTTTTCACTTCAGGACTAATTCCATGCACTTGAGGGAAAGTTATAAGGCCCATGATGATTTACTGAGCACTTAAAATACCTCCATTCATTATATTATTTGAGACTTACATCAACTGGGGTATAATATTATTTAAAGAAGGCAAACTGCAGATTCAAATGGACTAAAAGACTTGCTCCAAATCACAAAGCTAGAAAGTGGCCAAGTTGGAGTTATCCGCAGATTGTTTTACTCCAAAGCTCTTTAACTAACTTCATGCTCTATTTTTGAATTCACATGACCTCCTCCAACTCATCAGAGTTGGCTTACTGACTGACAGGGTGCASAGTAAGAAATGCATTGCATAATGATGATTTCAATCTCCCTTTTGAAAACAGTTCTAATAGCCATTCTTTATGCTTGGGTTCCATGTGATCTTACAAAGTCCAATTCTCAAAAATTAAAAATAAAAATGTATGCAGAGAATCCTTAGATTAGAAGACCTATATAAAGTTGCTATCACTTGCATTTTTAAATGCATTTCTAATTTAAAATTCTTTTGTTTTCAGTACAAACATTTTTGCTTAGCAAATCATTCATCTATTTTTAAATAGAGTAATACCATTTAAAACAATATGAACACAGCAGGAAAAGCAATCTGTGGCAGCTAACTGAATATTTACAGAAGTATTGTTTAGTTGGAATTTGTATCTTTGAATTTACAGGGAAAAGGACTAAAGGCTCACATGTAAAATTGGAGACTAARCGCCCTGAGAAGTAGGATTTTCCAACAGAGTCAGCTGAGCTAGCACAGTCAAATGAATCTTTACCAGCTGCCATTGGAAGCCTGAGGATACAACTTCATGGCCATGGGAAGGCAACCCAGAACTCAAGTTGGTTCTTTGCATGTGGACAGCCATTTGCAATATACAGATATGAAAAATGGTTTCGCTTGTACATTAGTTAGGGTAAATATTCAAGAAACTAATTTGTATGGCCCAATAGAAATATCCTACAAACTCAACATATTATCTTGTTAATAAACCAAGGAACCTTTGATATTTCACATGAGATGGACAAGTTGAAGAAACAACTTTTGATAATTTAGTGCTTGTGTATGAAGAAACAACCCAAGGCTAGAAAAATAACACTTAGGAAAGAACTGAGTGAACAATACCAAGAGTTCACATAGGACTCAAAATAGAACTAATGGACTGCAAATTGTGAGATGAAACTTCATTGAATGGACAGTGCAAAAGAAAAGATCATTAAACTTACACATAAGGTCACAGAAATTCTCCAAAGTAAAGCATATACAGAAAAAAAAAAAAAAAAACAACTGAAGAAGCAAAACAAATAAAAAGAAAAAAATCCCAGTGAATTACAGAAACAACTTCAAGTAGCAGAATCTATCTATCTATCTATCTATCTATCTATCTATCTATCTATCTATCTATCTATCTATCTATGCAATTTGTGGCCCCAAAGAGGAATAGGGCAGAAAAAACAATTAAAGATGTAAGGGGAAAAAATCCTTTATATTCTTGAAAAACCAGAAACTATGTATTAAAAAATTTTCTACTAACTTCAAGCAAAAGAAATATCAAGGAAATTACACTGAAGTATATCATAATTTAATTGCTTATAGTCAGTGATAAGGAGAAAATTTTAACACTGGTCAGAGAAAAAAGATAAATTTTATACAGAGAAACAAAGATGAKAGAAGATTTCTCTTGGGAACAATACAAGCTAAAATACAGTACAGCAACATTTTTAGAGTAATCAATGAGAGAATAACAGCTATCAACCAAGATTTATTATCCATTTCAAAAATGAAGAAAAAAATACTTTTCAAACCTACCAAAGCTTATTCATGGTTTCTATTCAGGTTCTAGGTAGTATAATAAATCAAGAAAAAGAAATCAAAGAATACAGGTTTTAAAGGAATTTTTTAAAAACCTGTCTCAATTTACAGACAATATACTTGTATACATAGAAAATGCTATGGAATCTACAAAAAGCTGCTAGAATTTGTTGAGGTTGATGAGGTAGCTGAGTGGTAGAACACTTGCCTAGCATACCTGAGATCACAGGTTCAATCAATAGCAACCCTCCCCCCMAAAAAAAAGAAAAAGAAGAAGAAAGAAGTTTTTAATGTCCCAGGATATAAGTGTGAAATTATCAACTTCACTTCTATATACTAGAAATGAGGAATATAAAATTAAAATTTAAAATAACATCCTTTATAATACCTTTAAAAATATGAAATTAATTAGTGGTCTATATAACACAAGAAGTATAAGCTTTGCATACCGAAGGCTATAAAACCCTGATGCAAGAAATTAAAGAACACCTAAATAAAAAGGAGAGATATCTTATATTCATGGATTGAGAGGGATTCAGTATTGTTAAGATATTAATACTTCCCACATTGACATGGGAACAATATAAGCAATTGTATTGTTCAATGCAATTCCAATCAATATTTCAGCAGATTTTACTGAGAATAGAAATTGACAAGCTAATTTAAATAGATATATGGAAACGCAAAGGATCTAGAATAATCAAAACAGCTTTGAAATAGAAGAGCRAAGTTGTAGGGTTTATACTACCTGATTTTAAGACTTATTATAAAGCATGGTAATCAAGAGAATATATTACAGGTGCTAAATAAATAAATAAATGGAACAATAGTCAAACCTATGAATAACCCAAATGTCTACCAACAAGCAAATAAACAAACACACTGTAGTCTATTCATACAATGGAATACTACTCATCAATAATAAGTAATGACTACTGACACACAAAGCAACAGAGATAAAACTCAAATAATGTCACTGTATGAAATAGGCTAAAACAACACCTTTACCTCCTGTCAAGAAAAAACAACYCCCTGAAACCAACAATAACTATATGTCATATGATTCTAGTTATATTAAAATTCTGGAGAATGGAAACATATGTATAGTGCCAGATAATTTAATATAAAACTCGGGCAAATAGTTGCTGGGGGATGGAACAGGATGGAGGATCRAGGCAGAACAAATAGAGAGGGCAAAAGGAAACTTGTGAGCAACGGTCCCATTCATTATCGTGACAACCGTGATGTGATGGACCATGGGTATACACATGTCAAAACACACCAAACTGTATATTTTAAACATGTGCAACTTATTATATGACAATTATTAACTCAATAAAAACTTCACTATGATTTATACGGTATAGAAGTTACTATGCTTTGATTGCATTGTTGAGTTTATTCCTTATTAATCTTGTTGGGTGGACAACTTCACTTTGAAGATACAATAAGTATTTGTTCAGGTTCTAAAGTTTACTCCAGCTTTCACAGCAAGCTGGCCTAGCCAAGATGTGAACCAACTATCTGTGGCTCTAGAAGTCAGCCCTCTGTGGCTTTCCTTCCAAATTCCCAGACTAATCTGATTTTATAGAGAAAATTTTATAGTGATTTTATAGAGAGCTTGGGGATTTAAATAGAACTAAGTACAACAATCTGTCTGTTGATAACTAATATTGACACTTTTCAATTTATTATRTCTCAATTTAAAAATGCAAATCTAATTGGTAGAAACCTAGTTTTTCATCGTTTCTCTCTATCCTCAACAAACTATCCTTAATACATCTACTACATCCATATTCTTTTTTACTTTAACACAACATTCTGTGAACATTGAAATAATCCAAAGCTTGAAAAACTACATATTATTTGTAATAATATCAGTAATAATGAGGAAAAAATTCAAGAGTGAATAGACTTTCATTAGGTATTTATAGATAAACATACATAGATGTACATAGATAAACACCTCTTTGAATTCAGGTTATTAACTATGTATTTGTTATATCTGGCTGAGGCCCACTGAAAATAACTTACCATTCTGAAATATAATCCCTGGCACACTTACGGCACATTATCAACCCCAACATCTATTTATATTTATTCACTTAATCAATTTAAGAACTTGAAGCACATTCAACCCTGGTGAGAGGATTAAATGTTTAATATTTTACTGATGTATCTTTGGACTACAATGTAATTTTTTTATTTTTAAGATATTTTAAGAGTGTGTCTATATGAAAACCTTAATTCACAATTTGTTTTTAAAAATATGTAAAAAGCAAAAACAAACAAACAAACAAAAAACACGAGTCAAAATTCACTTAGTTTAGTGTGGGGAATTTCTTAACAAATTGCCTTTAAAACTCCGTCGTCTTCAGTGGCTTGTGCCAATTTTATGTACACATGGCGCATAATGGGCATTTCTATAAAAAGCTTCAAGAGTATTGAATGTGTCAAGAAACCTTCCATTAAATATATGCATACTTTTTTCCAGATATTTTAATAGAATTCTCTTGTACCCCTTTCCTTTTGTAATCATAAGCATGAAAACTTTAGATAAGCATACAGAGGACCTGTCTGAGATGTGGTCTATGCTGAGCTGAGTCACCCGCACTTGGAAGTGGTACTTAACAGAATTATGTGCAAAGAAGCATTTATAAATTGTAAGGAACTCTGGAGTCCAATTAGTTGAGGGTGTGAGGCAAATGGCCGTTATGCTGCTTTATAAAATCTGCTTCTATGTACAATTAGAGTTTTGAAAGGAACCGATTATAATGTGCTTTTTTTTCTTTCTCTAGCCAGAGAGAACATTTTAAAGTTTAAAGAACAGTTGGTAGAAGAACAAAAAGTACAATCCTTTTAAATGGTAAAAATAAGACTACTGTTATTGGGAATTATGATACAACAGAAGCCT